TCCCCCCCTTGCCTCCGCCTACACTCCGCCACCAATCGATTCAGCTCTTTCTCCTCCTTCCCCCTTCCTCCCCCATCCACCATCCATCCATTTCCAGACACAGGCCACCCCACCCTCACACACCCCACCCTCCACACGCACACCTCCGGTGCCTTCCCTATCACCTCCCTCATCCTCCCCATCACACGTCTTCCCCACACACAAAGATCACTATGTCTGGAGGTGCCCGTGTCGACTCGCTCGAGTCGCTGGTGTATGCCATGCGTGCCACGCTCTCGCCCGAAGTGAGTGACAGCGAGCGCAAGGCGGCGACGGCTGCCATCCGCGAGTACCAGTCGCAGCCCGAGTGCTTTATGGGCTTTGTCTCGGTCGTTTCCAACGCTGAGGACGAAGCGCTGCGGATGCAGGCTGCTGTGCTTCTCCTTCAATCCATGTCGCACTGGACCAATCTGGGCCAGGACGACAAGAACTCGGCCAAGGACGCCCTGCTCAACGCCCTCTTCTCCGATCCCATGCCACTTGTCCGCCGCAACCTCGGCGTGGCTGTCGCTGTCACCGCCCGCCGCGAGCTGACCACTGGCGGATGGGACGCGTTCCTCCCCATCATGCACCAGGCCGCCGAGTCGGACGAGCCGCGCGCCCGTGAGGTGGCCTTTAGCGTCTTCAAGCGCCTTGTCCGCTTCTTTGGCCTCAACGAGCCGGCCTTCTTCTCGCAGCTCGCCCCGCTCTGGGTCAACGCCCTCACCGATGCCGGCAGCAACGAGGTCCGCATCGACGCCTTTGCCTCTCTCGCCGCCATGACAGCGTACTTTGAGGAGGAGGGCGACTTTGCCTCGTTTGAGCCCATCTTCCCGCAGATGCTGCAGACCGTCGTCACCTTTGTCGAGGCCAACGACGAGAGCAAGGCTGTGGTCGCGCTCGGAGTCCTCGAGGACATGCTGCAGATCACGCCCACCTTTGTGGCCACGCTCTGGCCGCAGCTTGTCCAGTTCAACGTCCAGCTCATCCAGGCCGGCAAGGAGGACATCACCAAGCGTGCGCTCTCTTCGCTCGCCAAGTACGTGGAGCTCAAGCCGATGCTTCTGCTCAAGCACGAGCTTGTGTCGGACGTTCTCAACGCGGCCTTTACCTGCATCGCCGAGGAGGAGACCGACATTGACGAGGGCAACTCGATTCCGTCCAACGCCCAGACGCTCGTCGACACCATCTGCCTCCGCATCGGCCCCTCGCACACCTTCCCGCTCTGCATGGAGGCCGCCTCGCAGTATCTGGCTGACTCGGTCACCTCGCCTCACACCATCCGTGGCGGGCTCATGATTCTTGCCATGTCCGCCGAGGGCTGCCAGGCGTACATGCGCGAGGAGCTGGAGACCCTGATGAACGCCATGATGCCGCATCTCTCGTCGAGCGCTCCGCTCGTCCGCGACGCCGCACTCATGGTCCTCTACCAGTTTGCCGAGCACATGCGCCCGAACATCCACGACTACCACCGGATTGTCATTGCCGGCTCACTCGACGGACTCTCGGAGGATCTCCTCTCGTCGCGCATGAACGCTGCGCGTGCGCTCAACTCGTTTGTTGTCTTTCTAGAGAATGAGGTGCTTGCTGAGTACCTGGAGAACATCATGTCCGGCTACGTCGGGACCATTGTGGGAGAGCCCGAGAGCCTCGAGCTCCCGCTCATGTGCGCCTCGCTGACCGGCATCGGCATGCTCGCTGTCTCTGTCGGGCCTGCCTTTGCGCCGTATTTTGAGCCGACCATGGATCTGATGATCGAGATCATCGGCCTCACCGACAACGACTCGATCAACCTCCGCGCCCGCGCCATCGAGGCCATCGGCGGTGTGGCCCAAGCGTGCGGCCTCGAGGCCTTTGCGCCGTACCTGGACGCCGTCATGACCAACGCCTTCGAAGGCCTCAAGTTGGAGTTCTGCCGCCTCCGCGAGCACACGTACTCGTTCTTTGGCCGTGTCGCCACCCTCATGGGCCAGGAGTTTGGCAAGTACGTCGACGACGTTCTTCCCATCCTCTACGCCATCTGCAAGGCGCCCGACATGGCCGTCTTTACCGGCGACGTCTTTGTCGACACCGGCGACGACGACTACGACGACGACTTTGAGGTGCCACAGGACGCGCAGGACGAGAAGGGCTCTGCCGCGTACTGCATCGGGGTCATTGCCACCGCCATGGGCCCGGCCTTTCTGCCGTTTGTGCAAGACTCGTTCTCGGCCCTCGAGACGCTGCTGCAGTACGACAACGAGGACGTGCGGGCGTCGGTCGTGACCGCCATGTCCGAGGTTGCCCGCGTCGTCCCGGCTACGCTCGAGTGGAGGTACAGCGTCGGCCTGCCCATCACCGACAACGTGCCAGAGCCGATCGCCCAGGTCGCCGCCTTTATCGTCCCCAAGTTCCTCCTCCGCATGTTCCACGAGGAGGCCGTCGAGGTTGTCTCGCGCGCCATGACCTCGTTCGCCTCGCTCACCCGCGCCTTTGGCCCCATCATGTTTGCCAACGAGGACAACTACGAGCTCTTCTCGTCGATTGCCCGCCTCACTCTTGAGCGCGAGCTCATCTGCCAGCAGCCGCTCGACGAGGACGACTTTGGTGACGACGTCGAGGCCCGCGCCGTCGCCGCCCTCGTCGCCGAGGACAAGCAGGTCGCCGGTGATGCCCTCTCCGGCCACGGAGCCAACGTCGACGACCTTCTCGACGCCGAGTCACCCATCGACATGGGCACCATGGAGACCGACCACCTCGCCGAGGCCCTCGAAGCCGCCTCGGAGGTTCTTGGCGCCGCCTTTGAGCCTTGCTTCAAGGGCCTGCTAGAGGGCCTCGAGTCGCGCGCCCGCCCGCAGCGCCCGGTCTACGAGCGCTGCACCGCTCTTGGCGTGCTCTCGGCCTCAGCCGCCGCCCTCGGCCCGCGCATCGCCCCGTACCTCGAGAGCCCTATGCTCCCGCTCTTCCTCGCGGGCTGCAAGGACGAGTCCGAGGATGTCCGCCGCAACGCCGTCTTTGGCCTCGGCCTCATTCTCGAGGTCATGGGTTCTCACAATGTGGCCCCCGGCCTCGCCGCCGTTCTCCCGCACGCCCTCGAAGCCATCAACAACGTCTTTGACGCCGGCTACGTCGAGGACGCCGCCGCGCCCGACAACGCCGTTGCCGCCCTTGGCCGCCTCATCTCCGCCATGCCTCAGCCGTCTGACCTCCCGCTCTCCGCCCTCATCCCGGCCATGGTCGCCCACATGCCGCTCACCGCCGACGCCTCGGAGAACCCGGCCGTCTACTCAGCGCTATTTGCTCTCTTCTCAGCCTCGGACGAGGCTGTCTTCGGTGAGCTCCCCAACCTTATCCGCGTCTTCTCACACGACCTCGCCGCAGTCGGCCCTTCCCGACCACATTGCCTTCCAGCTCGGCCTCCTCCTCAACTCGCTCATCAACCACGACCAGATCGGCTCCGAGGTCAGCGCCATGCTCGCCTCGCTCGACGACGACGAGCGCGCAAACCTCATGGGTGTGGTCCAGCAAGCTGTTGCCGCCCAATGAGGTCAATCAAACAAACAACACACACACACACACACACACACGCACGCACACGCACAACACGCGCAGCTTTACCTTGCCCGTGACGAGGCCTTGCTGACGTAGCGATGCAGCCACACACAGACACACACGTCAGCCACTTTTGCGCCAGGGCTACTTGCTCGGGCAACTTGCATGGGCACACCTTTGGTGTCACGCTATCCTATCCAGAGCCGCTTCCAGAGCCGCTTCCAGAGCACGAGCCCGAACGCGAGCTGGACACGCACAACACGCACAACACGCGCAGCTTTACCTTGCCCGTGACGAGGCCTTGCTGACGTAGCGATGCAGCCACACACAGACACACACGTCAGCCACTTTTGCGCCAGGGCTACTTGCTCGGGCAACTTGCATGGGCACACCTTTGGTGTCACGCTATCCAGAGCCGCTTCCAGAGCCGCTTCCAGAGCCGCTTCCAGAGCCGCTTCCAGAGCACGAGCCCGAACGCGAGCTGGAGGCGTCAACGTCCGAGGCCGAAACCGACGCCGATGAAAGACCGTCGGAGGCTTCGAACGAGCGATCAGTCCGACCGGCCGACGAGCCTGAGGTGCGGATGATCTTCTCGACGGTCGAGACCTCGGCCAACACGTCGAGCTTAGAGCGGTTGAGAACAAGCTTGCGGACCGGCGAGGCCGGGGCAGCCTCGGCCATCGACGGACCGTCGCCGCCATCGTCGAGCACCTCGATATCCGACGTGGTGTTGGCGAGCTTGGAGCGGCGGCGCCAGCGCGAGGCGTAAAAGACCACCTTGGACATGGTGGCCATGCCGAGGGTAATGGCCTTGTCCACTTCCTTCTGCGAGACAGAGATCGAGCCGAGGTTCTGGTCGAGCATCGGGTGTTCGCCGCCCTGGCAGAGCCAGGGGTCAACCTTGAGCTGCGCAATGGTGACCCGCTTTTGCGGATCCTTCTCGAGCAGTCGGAAAAGGAGCGCCCGCAGGTCCTGGTCAATCTCGACATCGCTCGGGACTTTGACCTCGTTCTCGCGGATGAGCTTGAAGAGCGCCCGCTGAATGGCAAACGGGTTGCCGCGGGCCGGCGGAATGAACGGGAGCTTGCCAAAGAGGAACTCGTAGAGGCACACGCCGAGGGCCCACACATCGACAGCCTTGCCCTCAACCTCCTGCCCGCGAGTACAGAGCTCGGGCGCAAAGTACGCAGGCGTGCCGAGGGTTGACGAGAGAGAGTCGTCGGTGCCCTCAAAGACGTGTGAGACGCCAAAGTCGGTGATCTTGATCACGCCCTGGGCGTCGATGAGCAGGTTGTCCGGCTTGAGGTCGCGGTGGACCACACCCTGGTGGTGCAGGTACTCGAGCCCGTACACAATGTCGCGCATGTACACATAGGTGGCCTCGATCTCGAGGCCCTCGCCGTTGTGGCAGCCTGACATAACGGTGCCAAACGGCAGGTACTCCATCACAAAGTACATCTTGTTGGCAACCGAGCCATCGGTCATGACCTCACGGAGCTTGACCACATTGGGATGTGAGAGCTTTTTCATGATCGCCAGCTCGTGCCGCGGATCGGCCGCGTTCGACATGTCTTGCGACTGCACCGCACCGGGGCGCGGACGCGCGAGTGTCTTCTTCATCTTGGCTGCGCGCAGAACTTTCATGGCAAACTGATGGTGGAACGGGTCCGAGGTGTCGATGACCCGAAAGACCTCGCCGTACGCGCCCTTGCCGAGCAGCTCCATCACCTGGTACTGGTTGATCAGCACGTCGCCGTCCTCGTCGCCGGTCAGCGTCACCTCAAACGTCTCCTTGACAGAGTGCTTGGTCGCCCTATTGGGTGTACCGGCCGTAGACGGCCGCGTGGTCGACGACGAGATGGCCCGCGGCCGCTTCGACTGCCGCTGCTTGATCGACGATATCTGGTCTTTGCGGAACGACCGGACCTCAGCCACCTCGGAGAGAATCCGCTTCATGTCCGGCCCGCAACTCACATCCGAGTCCGACTCGGACCCGCCGGCCTCCGACACCATCGACTCGTCCGACGACGACGCATTGCCGCCCTCATCACCCCCACCTTTTGTCACCTCCTCGGTCTGCACGCCGATGTCGATGCCCGGAGCCCGCGCCGCCGCACTTTCTTCCATCCTTGCTTCAGCATCAGCAGGAATCCCTAACGCTGCCGCCAGCGCCGCACGGAGAAAGACAAGCGGCTCGTCCGGCTGCAGGGTGATGAGCTGGGTGGTGAGCGACTGGAGGAGAGGACGGATACGATGGCGCTCCATGTACACTTGCGCGGCGGCATGGAGCTCGGCTCCGGCAGCCCTACGCAACAGTGACGACGTCGGTGAGTGATTACCACTTGGAGAAGAAGAATAACCACCCTGACGACGTCCGGGTGTGGCCTCTGGCCCGCTGCGTCCGTTCCCGCCCCGGCTTGGGCTCCCCACTCCCGCCAAACGTCCTGCGTCACCAGCCACGCCCGCTCCCAACGGGGAAGCAGCCCGCCCAGCATAGCCCAGCTGGGCAAGATATGACGACGGCGACCCATTCCCGGCTCGCATCGCCCTCTCTACTGTTCTACTCTTCTCCCCTCGCGCTCCGAGAGTAGTCGAGAGGATGATGTGCGGCGGTTATATGAGGGGCGCAGGGGAGGGAGGGAGGGAGGGAGGAGGGAGAGAAGCGAACGACCTGCTTCTTGACCAGCTGATGTCCCCCAAACTCACCCGCAATGTCACCAAAGTTTCTTGACGAGTTTATCGATGATGGCGGGTGATAATTGTGTGCTGAGGTGAATATTGTTACAAGCACACCACTCAATTCTAAACCCCTCCCCCCAACCAACCCCGCCCTCCCCCGCCCGTCCGCATCAACCGCCGCATCAATCATTGCATCAACCGCCACATCAACCAACACACTCGCACACTCGCACACTCGTCATACTACTTGCTGATCTCTGCCTGCTGATCCGCCAGAGCCCGATCCCCATCGATTGCCTGCTTGCCTGGCTCGCTGCTAACATCAGACTCGAATCCGACTCGGTCATCGTCTATCGCCCCAGCTCGGTCACATGCTGCGATGGGGACGATCTGCGCTGGCTGCCGCGGGTCTCCGTCCACGGCCATCGCTGGCTCTTGGCTCGTCTGACGCCGATCCGACTGTTAACTTACATGCTGACCCTGAGGCGGCCATCGGATACCTTGCCGCCGAAGCGGCCTGGACTGAGGCGGCGGTCATGAACCCACTGGCGTCCGAGGTCGACGCCCTCGCGGCGGGCATGCTCCGCAAGCTCCCTCCAGACTCGGCCGTCCCGCCGGAGCGTGTCGGCGAGTATCTGGTGGCGGTAACCCTGCCTCCCGGGGCCGAGTATCCGGTCGTCTCGCGGACTCCCGCTGCTGCCCCCGAATCTGCGCCGCAGCTCGTCCTCGACCTCAACACCCTCTTCGACACCTTTGCCACCTCCACCCTCCAGTTTGGCGACGTCAAGCTCTCGCCGGACGGTGCCCGTGTCGCCCACGCACTCGACGTCGGCGGCGCCGGCTCCATGCATGTCTACGTCAAGGACCTCGCCACTGGGGCGTACCTTGACGCCGCCGGCTGGAGCCAGCCACCCGGCGCTCCGCCGGCGCCCGTCACTCCCGACCCGATCTCGGCACTCGAGTGGGATGCAGACTCGAGAGGTCTGATCGTTGTCTCGGACGCTGGTGATGCCGTCGGCATGGTGGGCGTCGGCCGCGACCGCGCTCCGTCGTCCACACACTGGTTCCTCTCTGCGCCTGCAGATAGCCAGCTCTTGAGCGAGCCAGCCCACTTTGATCTCGGCACCACCTCGCGCCGATCATACCTCGCCGCTGGCCTCTTTGGTGCCTCGTCGTCATGCCTTTGGATCGCGCGGTCTTCCCCCGGGAAGCCTACCCCGCCGGAGGCCTTTAAGCTTGTCCGCGAGCCTGTGCCGTCCACCAAGTACTTTGCCGCCGAGTGGGGGGCCGACACCGAGCCCGATGCTCGCCTAGCTCTGATAGTTTCTTCGCCTGCTTGGCCCAACTACGCCATCGTCGACGCTGCCACCGATGAGCTCCTCCTTCCCCACGATCCAAGCTTCGCCATCGAGGACGCTGACGTCGTCGGAAATGTCGCTGTCGTTCTCGGGCGAGAGCTGGACTCGGGCCTTCCCGGCCTTCGGCTGCTGCGGCTTCCGCCTGATGCGCCACTCGGCTCTGTGCCGCTGGCGCCAAGCCTTCCAAGCGAGCTCTCGTCGTTTGTGCCGGGCGCCAACTGGCAGCCGCCACGTGGGACGCCGTCGGCCCCGCCGTCGTACCGCCTCGTCGGCGACTCGCCCATCCATCACGAGTCGCCAGTCGACGTCAAACTCAGCGGCGCAGGCTTTGGTCGCATCGCTGCCTCGGCCGTTGCGCCTGCTGTCGCTGCCACCGTTGAGCGGTTGGCTGTCCCATCATCGCGTGATGCCGGGGTCTCTATCCCGGTCACGGTTGTCAAGCCAGCTGACGCTCCAAACGGCCCCATGCCGTTCCTCACCTTTGTGTACGGTGCGTACGGCATGTCGCTGCCCGAGACCTACGATGAGCGCTGGCTGCCGATGATTGAGCGCGGTGTTGGCCTGGCCTACATTCACGTCCGCGGCGGCAGCGAGCTCGGCCCGGAGTGGCACGCCCGAGGTGCCCGCGAGTACAAGGCCAACTCGATCTCTGATTACGTCGACTGCCTCGAACACCTGCAGTCCACTGGCCTCGCTGATCCGAGCCGCACCGGTGCGCTTGCGCTCTCTGCAGGCGCCATTGTCGTCGCAAACGTTATCCTCAACGCACCGCACCTGCTCTCGGCCGCCGTCTTGGACGTCCCCTTTGTCGATGTCCTCGGCGCACTCGATGCCCATCGCGGCGTTGCCGCAGCACGCGGCCTCGAGGCCGCCGACCTGGCCGAGTACGGCGATCCCCGGAGCGATGCAATGCTGCGCAAGACTATAGAGGCTTACTGCCCGCACGCGCAGCTCCTCGCGCTTTGGCGACATGCGCGCGACGCCGGCAAGGCCGACGCCGGCGGTGCCAATCGCCCCCGCCTCCTCGTTCGCGCTGCCGTCAACGACGACCGCGTCCTCCCGGCTTCGGTTGCCGCCTTTACCGCCCTCTACCGCAGCACGTTTCCCGATGCCGAGCTCGCTGTCGAGGTCGAGGACGACGTCGGCCACTTTGGCGACGCCGGTAAGATGGGCGTCGCGAGCGTCGCCGCCCGCCAACTGGCTTTTCTAGGCCTCCACAGATAAAAGCCCACGAGCTCTGCTCCAAGTAAGCCAACCACAACCACAAGGCTGTCGTGGTGAAATCAGCAGATTACCATTTGGCGGCAGCCAAGGTTGAGGCCGGTGGCGACTGCACCAGCGGCTGAGGTTGGCAAGGCCGCAGCTGAGACTGAGACTTGGGCACACTTGACTTTCTCAACGCATCAATATGTATGTTACACAAGGCAAAGATGTGCCACGTCAATGCTCTTGCTCCACGCTCATATGGGCAGAGCATGGGTGGTTGTGGTAGTCGTGAGGAGGACAGTGGGAGAGGGGGCTTGGACGGTGGTGGGATGGTGGGTAATCCCGCGACGGAATTGTGTCTGTGTGGGGGAAAAATGGAGTAGGACCTGGGTGTGGGTGGAGGGAGGAAGGTGACGATATCGATGACGACACTTCTTTTGAGGAAGAATCGGCCCCCTATCCAGGGGCTGAAGTGTTTCTATCTCAACGTCTACATTCTCCGAGGTATCGTCCCTCTCTCCATCTGACGCGCTCTTGGCTCTTTGTCAGAATCCGCGGGTGCAGCGACGAAAAATATTTTCTGTGGTTCATATTTTCTCCCCCCTTTGTGTGTATGTATCTCACACTCTCTCTCTTACTTACCTGCTGGCATAGGATCAAGTTGAACGTCGCTGGATACTTGGTGTCACCGTAGCTTGCTAAGCAAATGCAGAGTCCGCTACTGCCAACTGCGGATTCTAGATGCGCCTGCGCAAGGCGATGACGATGTCGGCATCGCTCCGCGGGCGCACACAAGCTACACAACCTGTAGTGCAACTCTGTAAAAACTGTTTCACTGCTCACAACTGACTGGAGAGGCTGAAGTTAAGCAGCGAAGGTCATAGCCAGTGCTGCGGTGGCAAGAGCGACCACAGCGGTGGGGAAGAAGACCGAAGACTGATGGGCGGCGGCCGACGTCGCCGTCTTCGCCGATGTGGTGCACTGGATCAGCTTCGAGATGGAGACGGTGGAGCCGTCGGGCGCGGTGGCAGTCGTCAGATCGCACTTGTTGTTGGTAAGCGGCTGAGCGGCGGAGCAGCCCGTGGCGCAACCTGGGTTGCACCCAGTGGCCACCTGCAGGTTGCCGGAGGCGTCGCAAGTCACGGTGAGGGTGCGGTCGCTCGGCGCAATGGAGGTGCTGGTCGAGTAGAAGCATGCAAGATCCTGGATGCTCGCCATGTTGGTACCGCACGACGGTGCGTTGTACGTGGCGCCGACGGCCTTGCCCTCGAGCGCAGTGGGGACAGCAGCAACGCACTCGGCGGCGATGTTGTACTTGGTCGTCGTCACCGTCAGCGACGACGGCACAATGTCGCTGGTCTCGAGGCACGTCGTCGCGCTAATCGCCACAACAGGTCCGTCAACGCATCCAGTCGTGCATGCCTTGTCGTCGCAGTATGTGGCCTGGAAGGTGGAGCCACCGGCGGTGCAGGCGACCTTGAACCACTTGTTGAAGTCCGAGTCGAAAGTGCAAAGCCCGGTCTTGGTGTAGACCGTGTTCGGCTGGGCCACCGTCGCGTTGCAGCTCGACGAACGAGTGTCAAACGAATGAAGCGCAAGCCACTCGGCCGAGCAAGTGGTGGCAAGGAAAGCCACCATGCCAAAGGTGAGAACAAGGGTGAGGTTGTACGTCTGACCGCTGTGTGAGTTGCGCACCTCTGGCGGAGACATTAGACAAAAATTTGCTCCGAGACCTGTCCGGGGCACACAACGAGGACTCGCAGCCCCGTACGCTACCGACAGAGCAGCTTGCGGAGATAGGACAATATAAGGGCAAAGATGATATCTTGTATAGACAAGAGACTGGTTGTGGGTAGAATGGTTGGACAAGGAAAGGAATGCTCTTTGGAGCTGTGGAAAGGGACCACGGGGTTGGGGCGGTCGCGGTGAAACTTTTTCACATATTCGCGACCGCTGCCGCCTTCTACCACGCCCAATACGAGGCGCAAAGAGCTTTTCCGGCAGCCCGCAAGTCATCTTCCACATAGAGTAGTCTGTAGTACTAGCTAGATGGGAGGGGGACGATAAAGAACAGACGTAGCGTACCATGTTGATACTGGTTCAAGACGGGTGTGGCGAGTTGAAAAGTCGCGCGACGCTTTTCGTCCTCAAGACGACATGGTCTCCCGCGATTTGCGACTTGATCCGACGAGCTGCACGAGTACGGGGCACACGCTACGTATTCCCTACCTTCTATGGAAAAGGAAGGGGAAATTGATACCAGCCAGCCAGCCAGAGCACGCGAGGTGGAGCAGTTCAACTGCCTTGCCGACCTTCAGCCAGACAAACAGCAGCCCCTTCCCTCGCCCGTGACCGCCGCGTGCACCATGGACAACATGTAGCCTCCTCTTGCCAGAGCCCACACATGTGGCCATACGCAGGCCTTACGGCTACATCCTGACTGCAGCGCCGATTCACAGAGTGTGAACAAGGGTCAGATCATCCGCAGCTTCATCAATGGCAGGTTGAGAAAAGGGAAAGCAGGTTAGGCTGGTGGCAATAAGTTGGCCGGCGGGTGGCGGCGGGTGGCGGGCGGGCGACCGACAGTGGGCGAAGGCACCCCACGCCGACAGGTCACACGACTAGCCGCTGAACCAAGGGCAGGGCTACTTGCAGCGAGTGAGGATCGGGGATATGAAAGTTCGTGTCAAGAGGTATCGACGTGTTCGACGGGAGGGCTCTGACGTGTCGCTAACCAGCACCAGCACCCATGGCGAGACCGGCGGAAGCGGTGGTGACGGTGGCAGGGGCGGAGGCACAGCCGCCGGTGAGAGCAGGGGCGGGAACGGACGCAGTCTCTCGCCGTCATCACCTGTTGTTGCCTCGGCCTCGTTTTCCGGCTTTACCCGTACATCGTCTCATCATGGTCTTCATGGCCGCCACGGCAGTGAGACTGAGACCGAGAGCGAGACCGGGACCGGGACCGGGACCGGGACCGGAACCGGGTACGAGACCCGCGGCCGACACGCGCCACGTCGCAGAGTCCTGCAGCCGCGGACTAATGGTCGCAAACACGCCCACGCAAGACGGTCGCGTCAGTCTCCGGTAGTGGCGGCAGTGGCGGCAGCGTCGGCGGCCGCGCCGAGAAAAGCAAGCCGGCGGGCCGGATCGATCGATGGAGGAAGAGCCGGCCTGAGCAGAAGCAGGCCGACCGGCGGGCAGCGGCGCGGAAGCGAGAGCATGGTCTTGAACCGCTCGCTTTCTGTGGCGCAGCCGCTAGGCATCCGTCGGTCGCTGGAGAGCCGCGGGCGTAGCGGGTCGTCGTACTCGGGCAACTCGATGCTGTCGGTGAGCATCTCGCCGTCGATGTCGTCGTCGTCGTCGCCGCAGGAAGACTCTCTGTCCTCAGAAGACGTTTCGTCGGGCTCGGGCGGCGAAGAGACGTCGGGCCGGCTTTCGCCGCGGATCGAGATCTCACGGTCGTGGTCGCGCCGACGCGGACGCTCGGTCTCGGTCTCGTTCTCGTCAGACGACCCCAACTCGCCGAACCGGAGCCGAACGTACCGGCGGCGGCGCGACACACCGCCGACCCGCAACCAACAGCTGCTTGTCGAGTCTGAGGATGACGTTGAGCATAGCAGCAATGGCGACGAGTCGTTTCTCTCGTCGTCGATGGAGGAGGTCGGTATGCACCAAGAATCGACGCCGGCCCTGGTGGCGCTCGCTGACCACGTGGCGCCGCCACACGGCGGCCCAGCCGCTGCCCGTATGGCTGCAGGTAGCAAGCTGCGGTCGGCATCGATGAGCAAGCTGTCGCCGAGCCGCCGAGGCAAGCCACATGGTTACTCGCCGCCACACGCGGTGCCGAAACACAGCGCGCCGGTGGCGCAGAGCGACACTGTGGTGCCCTCGCCGTCCCGACACGCGCCACCTCGGCACGGCGGAACTGTGCCCTCGAATCCCGCAACGCTGTCGACTGCGCAAACGCTTGCTGCCGCCCGGACTGCGCATGCATCTCCTGCTGTCGACAACACACCGCGCCCCTCGCACTCGGCCCACGTCCCGCACGCTGCACACAAGCCGCCTGTCGCACACGACAACACACCGCGCCCCTCGCACTCGGCCCACGTCCCGCACGCTGCACACAAGCCGCCTGTCGCACACGCCCCGCATACCGCACACGCTACACACGCTCCGCATGCTGTACACGCTCCGCACGCTGCACACAAGCCGCCTGTCGCGCACGCTGTACACGCTCCGCACGCTGCACACGCCCCACACGCTCCGCACGCTGCACACAAGCCGCACGTCGCTCACGCCCCGCATACTGCACACGCCCCGCATGCTGTTCACGCCCCGCACAGTGCACAGCAACCCCGTCCGGTTGCATCGCACGCCCCGCATGCCGCACACACCCCACATGCTGCACACGCCCCGCACACACCGTACGCTGGACGCCAACCAGCTCCTGCAACATCACATGCTCCGCACGCCGCCGCACATCCAGCTCGCCTCACTTTACCCACGCACCCCATCGCTCTATCACAACCTCGCCACGCAACGCCTCCTGCTGACCCGTTGACTCTGACAAAAACGCTCGGATCGCGCCTCGCCGACCTCGCAGCGGCCTACAATCGCGGCGCTGTCATCACCCTCTCCACCTACTTTAATTCTGCGGGCAAGATCATTCCGTCGGGCACCAAGGGCGCGGTCTATGCCGGCCGCCATGCCATCCAGGCCTACTGGAAGTCGCTGCTGGCTTCCGGCCTCAAACACCTCGTCGCCACCATCGACTCGGCCACTATCACCGGCGACGGCAACGCCTATGCCACCGGCTCCATCGCCCACTCGGCCGGCGGCGGCAACATCGTTGTCGTCGTCTCGCGCCCATCGCCGTCAGCGCCCTTCAAGATCGACGTACTCGCCATCACAGCGTAGCTTTGCAGCGGTAGAGTGACAAGCAAACACATTTATGCTTCGTATCCCGGCTTCGGCGGCGGTGGTGGCGGCAGCGCGCCGCCAGCAGGCTTGGCATAGTTGAGCGGGAAAATGCCCTGCACATTGCTGCCCTTCACCTGGCCGCGACACCACCCGTCATCAAACTCCTCGATCACCTCCAGCATGTCGCCGGCCTGGAACGAGAGTTCGTCCGCCTCGCGACCGGCAAACGCGTAAACTGCCTGGTAGGTCTCGATGCTCGACGGAGCTGCAGGCGCGGCCGGGGACGTGGGAGCCACAGCCACAAAAGGCGCTGTCGGTGGGAGGCCGATAGGATCCTCGAGCGGCGCAAGGTCAATCGTCACGTCGCCGTCACCCTCGTACACCCCAAACATCATGCCGGCCTTGGACGCCGCGCGCCGCTTGCGAACAACCACAGCAGCGACCGTGAGGAGGCAACATGCAGTGAGCACCGTCCCGACAGCAATAAGCAGCCACGGCTTGCTTTGCGCGTTCTCGAGCGAGATCGGCGACGACGGTGCCGTCCGACCGGTCTTGATATCGCCGGCGTATAGCTCATACTCGGACGACGCCACGCCTTGCGCCCGGAAGACCGACACAAACAGCAGCCCCGACCGTGTCGAGTTGACCACAAACGACTGCTCTGCATTCTCCGGTGTCTCGGACCGGTACTCGTGGAGGACAAGTCCGTTCGGCCGGTCTGGAATTTCCGAGAACGAGCCGTAAAGGTAGACACCCGACGCCGCACGCGTGCCGGCACCGCCGCGGGCGCGCACCGAGACAACAATGTCAATCCCGCCTGGTACCACCAGCGAGTACGCCCACCCGTCGCGGCTTGCATCGACTACGTGCTCAAGCGCAAAGCCAAGGTTAAGCGGGTCAGGGCCGATCGAGCATGACGGGTCCGTGTCCCATCCAAACTTGCACTCGCAGACCGAGTGGCAGCAGATCCCGTTGAGCCCGCATCCGCCAGGGCAGCTGTTCTCGCCCACGCACACCGAGTCGACGCCGTTGCACGCGTCGTTGATCGTGCAGTCCTGCTGGTCGTCGCAACTTGTTCCGGCCGGCGCCGGTACGTTCTGGCACACCTCGTCGCAGGTGTCGATCGTGCAGTCAAGCCCGTCGTCGCACTGGGCGTCGGTGAGACAGCAGAATGGCGCTGTCTTGCACATGCCCAACCCGTCACACTGCCCGTTGCACGTCGGCGTCGAGCACGTCTGGCTCGTCGACTCGTACTGGCACGTCGACGAGCAGCAGTCGCCGTCGGCCGTGTTCCCGTCGTCACACTGCTCCATTGGCGGCTCCAGGATGCCATCGCCACAGGTGAACGTGCAGCCCGAAGGATCAGCCCCGAGACACGAGTCTGCCCCAGTGCCATCGCATGTGTCCGACGCCCCGTCGCAGCTCTGCCCGTTGTCGCACGGGGTTCCGTTCGGAAGATAGGCATCCGGGGGGCAGTCGTCCGAGCTCGAGCTGCACACCTCTGGCTGATCGCATAGGTGCCCGGCTGCAGACCGGCAAACTTCGCCGGCACGCCGCACGTTGGGCGGGCACGCCGCAGAGCTCCCGCTGCACACCTCCTCGACATCGCACACCCCAGCCAGAGGGCGGCACACTGTCGCCGAGCTCTTGAACGAATCGGCCGGACACGCCGCAGAGCTTCCGGTGCAGGTCTCCGCGTTGTCGCACGGCCCAGCCGCTGCCCGGCACGCAGTCGCGCTGCTGAGGAACCCATCTGCTGGGCAGTCGGGCCCGCTCCCACTGCATCGCTCCTCGGCGTCGCACGGCCCGGTCACCGCCCGGCACACCGTCGCTGCTGATTTGAACGAGTCAGCCGGGCATGCCGCCGACGAGCCGGTGCATGTCTCGGCGTCATCGCACACGCCCGCTGCCGCTCGACACACCGTCGATGCCGACTTGAAAGAGTCAGCTGGGCATGCCGCTGACGAGCCGGTGCATGTCTCGGCGTCGTCGCACAAGCCCACCGCAGCGCGGCAGACCGTGCTGGTCGGTGCAAAGCCGTCGCTCGGGCAGGTTGCTGACGAACCCGAGCACGTCTCGGCCACATCGCACACGCCCGTCGACGGCCGGCACACCGTGGCCGACGATGAAAAGGCGTTGGCAGGGCAAGACGCTGACGAGCCCGAGCACGTCTCGGCCACGTCACACGGCCCAGCCGATGCCCGGCACACCGTGCTCGTCGATGCAAAGCCATCGGCTGGGCAGCTTGGCCCGCCACCCGAGCACGTCTCGGCCACGTCGCACACGTCGACTGCGGCACGGCACTCGGTCGTAGGCGACGCAAACGTGTCTACAGGACACGACGCAATCAGCCCGGTACACGTTTCAGCAACATCACACGGCCCAGCTGCCGGTCGGCACACCGTGCTCGACGAGCGCAAGGAATCAGCAGGGCAGGACGCCTCTGATCCAGTGCACGTTTCGGCCACGTCACACGGCCCAGCCGATGCCCGGCACACCGTGCTCGTCGATGCAAAGCCATCGGCTGGGCAGTTTGGCCCGCCACCAGAGCACGTCTCGGCCACGTCACACACGCCAGCCGACGCCCGGCAGACCGTAGCCGACGACGCAAAGTTATCGGATGGGCAGCTCGCCGATGAGCCCGTGCAGCTCTCCGCCACATCACACACGCCAGCCGACGCCCGGCAGACCGTAGCCGACGACGCAAAGTTATCGGCTGGGCAGCTTGCCGATGAGCCCGTGCAGCTCTCCGCCACATCACACACATCGACAGACGGACGGCAGACTGTGGCTGATGCCGCAAACCCATTGCTCGGGCAGCTTGCCGACGAGCCGGTGCACGTCTCGGCCACATCGCACACCCAGCCGATGGCCGACACACTGTCGATGCACTCTTGAACGAGTCACTAGGGCACGCCGCCGAGCTCCCGCTGCATGTCTCCTCGTCGTCGCACACACCAGCCGACGACCGGCATACAGTGCTTGTCGATGCAAAGCCATCGATGGGGCAGTTCGCAGAAGAGCCGGTGCAGCTCTCCGCCACATCGCACACACCTGCCGACGGTCGGCAGATAGTCGCCGAGCTCACAAAGCCATCGGTCGGGCAGCTCGTCGACGAGCCGGTGCAGGTCTCGGCCACATCACACACACCCGCCGATGGTCGGCAGACGGTCGACGCCGACGCAACGGTATCGCCAGGGCATGATGACGCACCACCGCAGGTCTCCGCTACATCACAAGGGCCGGCAGCTGGACGACACACCGTAGCACTCGGCTCGATTTGGCAGCTTGATGAGCAGCAGTCGCCGTCGATCAGGTTGCCATCATCACATTGCTCTGCGCCCTCGACAACCCCGTTACCGCACGCGCACACCGACGGTCCGGAGCACACACCCGATCCGTCGCATGTATCCGGGCTTGAGCACGTGTCCGAGTCGTCACAAGACGTTCCACCTGCCGCAAACCCGTTAGCTGGGCAGGACGCTGACGAGCCGGTGCAGGTCTCGGCCACATCGCACACGCCCGCAGACGCGCGGCAAACCGTGGCCGACGATGCAAACCCATTGGCCGGGCAGGACGCTGACGAACCCGTGCAGCTCTCCGCAACATCGCACACGCCGGCTGATGGCCGACAGATGGTTGACGGGCTGACAAAGGTGTCCGTCGGGCAACTTGCCGATGACCCGGTGCACGTTTCGGCCACATCGCACACGCCCGCTGAAGCGCGACAGGTGAATGACGGCGCCCGAAAGCTGTCGGCGGGGCAGGATCCCGACGAGCCGGTACAAGTTTCGGCAATATCGCACAAGCCAGCCGATGGGCGGCAGACCGTCGACGTCGACGCAAACCCGTTGGCCGGGCAGGACGCCGACGAGCCGGTGCAGGTCTCGGCCACATCGCACACGCCCGAAGCGACACGGCAGACCGTAGCCGATGACGCAAAGCTGTTGGCAGGACAGGACGCCGACGAGCCGGTGCAGCTCTCGGCCACGTCGCACACGCCCGATGCGACACGGCAGACCGTAGCCGACGACGCAAACCCGTTGGCCGGGCAGGACGCCGACGAGCCGGTGCAGCTCTCGGCCACATCGCAGGGACCGGCCGAGCTGCGGCAGACCGTAGACGGCGCTGCAAAACCATCCGCCGGGCAGCTCGATGACGAGCCAGAGCACGTCTCGGTCATATCGCACACGCCGGCTGACGGCCGGCAAACCGTCGACGAGCTCAGGAAGCTATTGGATGGACAGGCTGTCGACGAGCCGGTACAAGTTTCGGCAATATCGCACGGGCCGGCCGACGGGCGGCAAACTGCAGATGATGACGCAAAGCCATCGGCCGGGCAGGACGCCGACGAGCCGGTGCAGGTCTCGGCCACATCGCACACGCCCGAAGCGACACGGCAGACCGTAGCCGATGACGCAAAGCTGTTGGCAGGGCAGGACGCCGACGAGCCGGTGCAGCTCTCGGCCACATCGCACACGCCCGATGCGACACGGCAGACCGTAGCCGACGACGCAAACCCGTTGGCCGGGCAGGACGCCGACGAGCCGGTGCAGGTCTCGGCCACATCACACACGCCCGCCGAAGCGCGGCAGACGTACACCGTCGACCGGAAGCCGTTGGCCGGGCAGCTCGTGGAAGCGCCGTTGCAGGTCTCGGCCACGTCGCATGGGCCGGTCGATGCGCGGCAGGTCGTGCCCGCCGTCGCCACAGCGTTGGCCGGGCAGCCAGCCGACGAGCCGGTGCAGGTCTCGGCCACATCGCAAACGCCGACCGCCGACCGGCAGGTGTACGACGACGGCCGGAACTGGCAGGTCGAGGTGCAGCAGGCCTGTGATGGCGGATCGCACTGCTCGCCAGCCTCGACGATCGAGTTGCCACACGACGCAGGCGTGCCCGAGGCCGGACCCGAGTACAAGATCTCGTATTCGCCGAGCGAGCCGTAGTCTGTGTATCCGGTTCCAGTTGCGGAGCCCTTGCCGACGCCGTCGACACGGAGGTAATAGGTAGTGCCGGCGACGCCCGAGTAGGTGACGACGGCTTTGACATCGGCCGATGGGTTGACAGTCGAAACGAGTGACGAGCCGGCGTACAGCCGGGCCTCGATGTCGAGGTTATAGAACTCAGTCGAGGTTGGCTGGACAGTAAAGGTCATTGAGCCCGACGAGCCGATAGTGATCTTAAAGTAGTCAACGTCGGTACGGGTCGAGATGAAGCCGGTACCGGCTGGAGTGGAGCCATCATTGAGAGTTGCACCCGAGGTCCGAGAGTCTGAGTGGTCATCGGCGCGGAAGCCGAAGCCGTTTGAGGAGCCACCAACGATGGCCAGATCGTCCTGCTGCTCGTTGGCGTCGGCGTACTCACCACGAGACCACTGAATGAGGTCCTGGTAGTAGCCGACACCCATGATCGGGCCCCAGCCGGTGATGCCCGAGCCGTGACCCTGGTAGTAGCCGACCGACGAGGTGCCATCGTGGGAGAGGCCCATGTTGTGGCCGACCTCGTGCGAGCCGGCCTCGCCGCACGACTTGGCATCGCCGCCGGCGAGCCGCTTGGTGAAGACCCACGCCGGCTGGTAGTACTGGCTGGGCTGCGAGAAGACGCCAACGTAGGCAACGCCGCCGCCGCCCGGATACCACGCGTCAGTGATGGTGAAGACGCAGCGGACACGGCGTGATTCTGACACAGCGTTGTAGACCGACTCGATGGTGGTGACAGTGATCTCGAACGGGGCGTAGTCCTCGGCCATGAGCTCATACATTTTGGAGATGCGCGTGAGCTCGGTGGTCGAGAACGAGTTGGTGTTGGAATCGATGTCGTACGGACCGGTCACGACGTCGCCCCACGCCGAACCCGTGGCGTCGTGGCCGTCAAAGTCGAGGAAGATGACGTACGGCGAGCCCGGCTTTGAGTTGTGGCTGGGCGGATTGAGGACCCGAGTCGCAATGGTATCCTGGGCCGGGTCGTAGTCGCTGTCACCGGCCGAAGGAGGAATGGCGTCCTGGCGACAGATGTGCTCGTCGATGTGGATGCGCCGAAGTAGAACGTGGCCGTCGCCGGCCTCGGCATTCGTCTCCCATCGGAACGCAGTGTCGTGATCAAAGAGCGAGACCTCGCCCGAGACGTGCTCGCCAGAGTGGGAGACATGAAGAGTGAACCGCCCGCCAGCGGCAAAGTGCGACGGTGAGCCGGCGAGCCGGTCCTCGGCAGACAGCGGCGTGTCTGGCGAGTCGACAACCCGACCGATGATCATCAGCTCTGCGCCGTCGTCCGAGTGGCTGACCGAGACCACGCGGCCGTAGATCGGGCCGAGGTCGGGCGCCATGTCCGCCGAGAGCACTTTGAGCACAGGGATCTCGTGGAGAAGCAGATTGGTGTTCCGCAGATGCGGGTGCAGGTGGGCAGCATGAACAGTGCGCGCCATGCTGGCAGCAAACCGGCCTTGGACCGGATGCTCATGATGCGGCGACGAGACATCGTGATCCGAGACCAGCAAAGCCGCAGAGAACAGCGAGAGCGGCTCCGTGCGCGACATGCCTAGCTCGACGGCGCGTGCAGCATGCAGCACTAGCAGCATCGCCATCACAGACAACCCAACACGTACCATACCCCGAAGCATGGTATTCTACACAGTTGAGAAGAGCGCGTAAGTAAACAAGTAGTGGCGTGGTCTGCAGTCGTGTTGAGGCGTGGTGAATGCCTTTGCGGCAGGTGGCTCACTTGCCAATGATGACCACTACTCTATCCGCACTCATATTGGAGTTGACCGCGAACAACGCAACAAAGCCGAGCGCAGTAGAGTTGATGACAGGCCAAACACACACAAACACACACACACACGCAACGAGAGGGAGAACAAGAAAGAGATATTTTCCAAGCAGTTGGGCGGAAGGGAGGGGGGGGGGGGGGGAGGGGAAGGGGACGAGGGGGACAGGCGGGGAGGTAGGCAAAGGGGACGGGGGGGGGGAGAA